CACAACCTCTTTCACAGTGTGGGAAAGAAATATTCCTTTTCTCATTCAAAACAGAGTATTTCCAGGTTAATATAATAAATTATGTCTTCATTATCTGTGAATTAACATGATTCATCCACCTGGATGAATTTACCAGATTCAAAACTGGTGAAGGGAAGGAAATTAAAAAAACTTCAGGTTATCAAATAAGGATGTACTTTAGACAGCCATCTACCCTCAGCTGGTGTTTGTGCAGTCTGCCATTGTGACTTAATTTTAACCAGAGGTTCATCAAATATCTGCTTTAATCACTCTGCTAAATTCAGTCTTTTTTCTGTGGCAGTCCAGTCATCACAACATTTCAGATGTCTCTATTCCAGATGATCCCAGCACTTCCAGTGTTTTGCCATGTACACGTGCATGACATAGATGAAGGCTATATTCACAGAATGCTTTCTTACAGAATTTCACTCCTTTGCCTCTAAAGCACCTCACTGACATTTACACAAGTGTTAGAAAGTTGTTGGTTTATGTCTTAGGGATATATTTTTGATTCAGTACAATGATGCACTGGAATAATTTAACTATTTGTAGTGGGTTTCCTTTTCGTAAAACAGCAGCTGTCAAAACACGCTTGATCATGAATGGACAAACTAATGAATTACACAAAAAAAAAATCTCACAGGATTTAAAGTCAATATTCCTATTGTACTCTGCAGAACATATGTAGAAATTACAATCTAAAAATGGCATGCTTAATAGCACAAGGGTTTTATATTTTGCTGCTTGAGACTAATGACAAATAATAAGCATGGAGTTCCATAAAAACCACAAAGCTTGGGTTATAAAGGTTATTTTGGATTGGTATTTAACCTTTTATTAATTGGACGTAAATAGATATTATTTTTAATTTCTTAAATATTATATAGTAGTTTTGTCAATTTTATATTAGTTTTAAACTTACACGTAAACTGAGATGATATATGAGTAGAAACAATATCTGTTATAAAGGACAGATAAAAATGTTACAAATGTCAAGACTGTAAATCAAAATGTTCCCACAGAGTCTTGTCAAGTTACCTTAATGTTACCATGTTTTCTCTTATGGATATGTCACACCATGCAAATTCAGACATTTAACTCAGCTGTATTAACCCCCTAGAAACCCAAAGTTCCTCATATGCATATCCTCCACAGTGGAGAGACGAGAGTTTCCCATCCTGTGCTTCACAGCAAGAACATATCAGCAAGATTCAGCCTGTCAGCAGAAAAGTACTTATGCTTATTTACATGCCCTTCATCATGCATATTTGAAGTTTGATGGACTCCAACACTCAATTTATGGACGACTGCACAGGCTTATACTCCTCTAGGTCCTATCCAGAATCTCTTAGCAAATTTACACTTTTGTGAATTGATCCCAAGACCACCAAATGTAAATGTAGCCTTTTCATAACGATCTATGTGTTTTGGATCTAGACACTTGTTTTTAGCATTAATGGTTCTATTTTTTTGTTTATCAGTGGAAATATTTTGATAGTGAAATAAAAACAAAAGCTTCTCAATACACTTTCTAATTAATCTGTGTTCATGGAATACTTAATTAAGTACATATAACCTCTCTTTCAAAAAATGTGTAATGACTTCCGCTATTGTTGTAAACACTGGTAATGTTTAGGAAAATAAAAATTCCTCAAAATACTTTGGAAAAGTTTTAACTACTCTTTATTCAACCAGAAGTGTGTCTAAAGCTAGTAGTTCAATAGAATGCTAGTTGGAAGTACACCTGGCTTGTAATGAATGCTATGTTAAATTTTATTACTGTCAACATTTCAAAAAAGGAACCACTGCTTTTAAAAAGTACTTGAAGTTCCCCAGCTTATTGCTGTGTTCTCTCTGAAGAAACTCAAGCCATAAGAAAAAATAATTTCAGGATTCTAAAATCAACTGCAAAGTGAGTAAACACCTAACAAAAGTCCGTTTACGTTTATTTTCTTTTTCATTTCTTTCATCCTGAAAAAGATCATAATACCAAATTTCAACTAACTTTAATTTCTTTCATCTTGAAAAAGATCATAATACCAAATTTCAACTAAGATATTCTACAATGTATCAGTTTGTTTTTAAAATTATTCTTTTGGTGTTATGCATTAACTGAGAAACCTACTAGCAACTTTGAGTTTTTTTCAGACAATGTATATGTGTGTGCACTAAGATATTACATTTTTGTCCTATTCAGACAAGTAATTTAGTTGTATGAATACGTGAACTATTATGATGATGTCTGTAAGACTCTGTGTGGAAACATGTTTTTATTTGCAGCAAAAAGTAGAAACACTGTGAAAAGAATTATCTGATGTGCAAAGCTACTGTATTAGCATATTAATTTGGTTTTTTCCTCCTGAAAGTCATTATCTGAAGAATAACAAATAATTTAAAAAAAAGGGCAACTAACAAGTGAAACTTAGTGTTAGAAGCCGTGTGACTGAGTATAATTTGTGTGTTCAGTTTTAGGTTTCATAAAAGAAATGCAAAAAAGATGTTCATACATTTCTTTTGTTATAGATACTTGCCATAAAACTGACTGGCCTAAGCTGTTAAAATCAAAAGTACCACACATTTATACAACAAAATATTTTTCTGATTTAAGCCTACATATACAAAAAAGTCAGAATTTAAATACAATTCATCTAAAGATGTTTTCTTATATTAAACAGGATTTTTTTTATCTTTACTTGTTTTATCTGTGATATGCCATTACCTTGGTACTCACTTCCCCTGACTTAATCCAAAAGGCCATGAAAATCAACCCTGATCCAATTCAGCAAGCTTTCTTACTTAAATTTTTAATGAGTAAAATGTTTTTCTGCCAAACTTTCTTCCCCATATAATTCCTTTGCTTGAATTACCAGGTATTTTATCAAGCTATACTGACCTGTTCTTTAATTCTGCAGGCAAGAGTGCCCTCTAAACCACAGACATGTCAAACTTCTGTGCAATTATAAGTGGATACGTGTTGACTTTTCCAATTAAATTAAAATGTATATTTTAAAACATTACAAAAAACACCTGCTAGGAGAAAAGGGGAAAGAGTTTATGTAAAAACTGATGACTTTAATTTCTTTTTAAGATTTTCCAAATCTCGCAGATTTGCAGTTTTGAAGACTGATGCTGGTATTATTGCTTTTTCCTACCTAACGTGTCATTTCCACCACTATCAGCTAGATTAAAAACCTCACACGATTAAAACGTCACAGATTAAAAACATGGTCAACATTTACCTCTGCCTTCCCATTAGAACTGAGAGAAGGAGAGTTAAATGTTCGACACATTTTGTACCACTCACCATGACTGATATCAGGAAAGATCCATGCCAACTGAACAAGGAATAACAGATATCCAAGCACGCAACATTTAATTTCTCATTAAAAGATCAGGAAAATGTTTTCTTTTTGCTCTGAGATAATAATTAGTGAATTATGCATCATATGATTTTACATACACTTCATTGACTCCTATTCTTTTTTTTTTTAAAGCTGTATGTGTCAACCAGAAAGAAAAGTAATTCTTTTCACTCTGCCCAGGCATTCTTCTTCATTATTTTTGACAAATGTAAGTTGGTCTTCTTAGACTTTTGAAATGTAACCATTTCTATCAGATCTGTGGGTGATAACAAAGATTTATAATGCTTCATGTAACAGGTTAGAGCATCACTGAAGGGTAATAATAAATGTTAGAAGAAACAGTCATTTAAGGATATATTGAGAAAATGTCAACATTATTATGCCAGCCACACCACAATCGCATTCACTTTCTTGTGTTAAAATGTAGGAAACCTACCTTTTGAATCATATTTTTTATTATCTATGAATTCTGAGAGTTTGTTTGCAATTATCTTTCAGAATTATTCATTTGTAAGAGTGAAAATGTTGTAGTGCTATAAGAATTGTGAGATGAAAACAGAAAAAGGATAGTATTTGATTTGTAAACTTATAATCACTTACCTTCTCTGCTGATTGGGCTGTACCAAAAAAGATTGGAATAAAAGCTAACCAAATTATGCAGGTTGTGTACATAGTAAATCCAATGGGTTTTGCTTCATTGAAGGTCTCTGGAACCCCTCTTGTTTTAATAGCATAAACAGTGCATGTGACCATCAAGAGAATACTGTATCCAAGAGAACAAATGAGAGAAAGATCTGAAATGTCACATTTGAGAACGCCCCTTGCATTTTCTGGTTCAAGTGTCCTCTGCTCTCCATAGTCTACGATGGTATGTGGTGGATCGATAGCAAACCAGATGAAGACTCCAATAAGCTGCATGGATATGAGGCTGAAAGTGATCACCAGCTGGGAAGCTGGACTAATAAATTTGGGAGCTGTGACAGATTTTTTACCTTGTTCAAATATTCTGTGAATCCTGTTTGTTTTGGTAAGCAAGGCAGCATAGCTGAAACACATGCCAAGTCCTAAAAAGATCCTTCGAAACGAGCAGACCACTGTGTCAGGAGTTGCAATCATTAAAAAAGTAATGGAGTAACAGAGAAAAATCCCAGTCAAGAGCACATAACTGAGCTCCCGTCCAGAGGCCCTGACAATCGGTGTGTCATTGTACCGGACAAATGTCACAATCACAAAGGTGGTGGCAATTATACCGAGAATAGCTATGAAGACGGGCACTATGGCCCAAGGAGAATGCCACTCCAGCTTGATTATAGGGATAAGCTGGCAATCCGTACGGTTGGCATTTGGCCTCTTATTAATGGGGCACAGTTCACAGTTGAATTCGTCCACCTGGTAATGGTACCCCTCACAGCGCTCGCAGTGCCAGCAGCAGGGCACTCCCTTCACCGTTTTCTTTCTTTCCCCGGCTTTACAGGGCAGGCTGCAGACAGATGCTGGATGAGTGTGTTCTCTGTTAGCCCACTGCATGTCTTCTACCTGTGGGTATAAAAAATTAATGAGCCTTCTATTTTTCCCCATTTATAATATCCTAATCCTGGCCACAGGTTTGTCATAAATCACTACATGCTGACAGTACAAATACAGTTTACCATAATAAGAAACCTGTTCCTTTCCCTTGTATTGACTTTATAAAAGTGTTAAATGATTGTGTCCAATAAATCATTCATGCCACAAGCTTGATGAGTGTCATTAGTTTCTATTTACCTCTTTACTGCTGACCAAATTGACGTCTGTAAAGATATTTATTGACTCTAGGTTAGTTTAAAAGCAAAAAGCCCTCTACACAGTGCTTTAAAAGTTAATCGCATGCAAATATAAATATACCAGTAGTTCTCAAACACTTAATTACAAAATAAAGCTATGCGAGTTTCAGATAAGTTTCAGGTACAGTAAAGAAAAAGATTAAAATCTCCTTGATTCATCTCTGGCAGAAAAAAAGAGTGCCAGAAAAAAGATCCACAAATGTGGATATTTTATACTTTTCTGATTTCCAAGTCTTGAAATACAGGAGTGGTTTGTTTACATTTCTAGAAGGTAAAAATGAGTATATACTGCTTTCTGAATAATAATGGAAAAAGTCGTCATGGCTACTACTTTAGTCGTCCTGATTTCAAAAGTCCAAGGATCTTTTTGTAGTATAGAACAGATGCACACAATGCAATCTTGTTTTGGAAATCCCAGATTTCTCCACAGCCGCACATTAACAAAGTATACTTTTTTCATCCACTTATCTATTCTTCCTGCATGCCCTCCAAATAAAATCTAAATAGGAAACTCATGGATTTAAAGCATCTCCTGTTTAAAATTATTGTCCAGTTTGGTCCCAGCTCTCCTTAGCCCACCCTTAGTAAAACCACGTTCTGCCAGAGGTCACACTGAGTAAACCAGAACAGTGTGTGGAGCAAAGAGCTACTCGTAGGCACCAGAATGACTCTGAGTTGCTCTCATGCTCCACCTTTCATGCCTTTATTAGGTGGTAAGCACTTAAGGACAAAGGACTTGCCTTGTTCTTGACTATTAAGTACTTAACACGATTCATTTGGAGGCTTTATTTATAAGTGGAACAGCAGTAAAAATGTTTTCAGTTTCTTCTGGAGGAGGACAGAATGAGGACAAATTATCAAGAGGGATAATTTTGGCCTTAACAGTTTACTTTTCCAGCAATTTTTCAACGGATTTGAGAGAAAATCACAATGTAACATTGCTGGCCTCATTTGCCTTCCTCAGAGCGCCGGAGCACCAGTTGCAGCACCATGCAGGGTGAATAAAGCAGCAGCAAGCATCCAGGCTCTTTGTCTGCTTTGTCCACTCTTCTGCACAGTGTAGGACTTTGCTCTTATTTGCCACTCAAAAGGGCATAAAAGGGACCACACAGTAACAAGGAGACAAGAAACTTGCTCATACAACCAGCTCTGTCAATCCCCAGAGTCACTTAAGGACTTCAGTGGGGTTTGGATCAGTCCTGAACCTAGAGAAGGTAACCGTATTTTGTATCAAGGACTGTGATAATTACACAAAATGTGGCATCTGGCGACTACCTAAAAGGAAACTGTTTAAGTAATGAGCTTCCTAAAAAACATAAGAGTAACCCAGTTGCATGAAACAGCTTTGATAGATCCCTAGCAGAGCACTTGACACTCTAAGAAAATATTCTCCTCTGCTACAATCTTCTGATTTTAATCTCTGAAATTCTCAAAGCCTGCATAACCCCTACTGTTTCATTTACTAGACAAGAGAGAAAACATGTTATGATGAAATCAGTGTGATAGCAAAGACATATTCTCCTTCACAGTGTTGTTAGGAGAATAAATACATCAAAGCTTGTGATTTAGTCAGACTATGATAATGGGGGCAACAGGAGGCCATGGTCATTAATCCAGATCTCTGGATAAGTTTGGGATGACTAAAAAAAGAACAGTACTGCATATTTGACAGATTATAGCACACAATACAGAATCACCAGGAGAGTACACAACACCTGATCCAGTATAAACTTAGAATGGCATGGACAGGCAATATCTAATCTGGCAGAAAGCCTGATAGGATAAAGCTAAGGTGTCCAATTTTTTAAAGACATTTGAACTAGCAAAGTGAGTTTATACCAGATCAGCATTTAATACCATGAGGCTACAGTGTTTGTTATCTGGCATTAAGCATCCTAAAGCCGCATTTACTATATTGTGAGTCCACGGCTTAGATAGGTACACAGAATTCCTTTGTGTCTTTCAGAGTTTCTACCTTAATAAAAGAAAACAGAAAAAATATCATTTTACTGTACAGCTACTTATGATTTCACATACTTTTGTCTTGACGGTGCTTTAATTGACTAAAAACATGTTTAGAAACTTCCTGGTTAGCAATATATGAGAGTGCCTCAGGTTACGCATCCCATTGGCACAACTGACAATAAATTCCTATTTCTGAAGGTCACTGGTAAAGATTCATATTATGTTGTTCGTTCTAGTACATCTGACACATAAACTACAGAAGATATAATTTCCAGCATGGCAATATAGGGTAATGAGTTGGGTTTTTTTTTAATTAATTATGAATATAAGGACTATTAGCTGTTAGTGATGGAACGAGTCAAACAAGAATGGGCTTTTATAGCATAAAAAAATTCTAAATCAATGTAGAGAATAACCAGAATGAATGGCTGGTGCAGGTGCATCTTACAAGGTATACAAGTTATGCTTTACAATCTGTCTTGTCTGGATTACTTTTTTTAAGCAAAACACACAGTCATCTTTAGGTTGACCTACATTTCTGAAAAAGCTCTTAACAAAAATATTAGGAGTTCTTGCTCATGTGTTTTTTATTTCATTTTTTATCTAAACAAGGAAGAGAAGATATATTCCCAAGAAATGTTGGCCAGTGTTTGAAATTGAAGATCCTTTTTAAGATACTTGCACATCTGAGAAAATTCTGGCATTGTAGGATTTTTACTCTGGAGGTGGGTGCAAAGATGGGATTCCCCCATGAATCCAACCATCCTGACAACTCAGTTCATAGCTACATTAACAAGCAATGTGGCACAGTGAGAGCCGATCTGTGGAGCAAAGATGTTGGCTCTAAAGACTTGATGTTCACTTTGGTCAGCATTTGAAATTAGAGTCTGGGAAGGAAGGTAATATTGAACTATTTTTGACATAGTTCAATTGACTGAACACCCAGTAATGATTAAAGAAGATTAGATGTCCTTCTGGAAACCATCTTCTCTCTTCGTTTCAGCCAAAAGCAATCCAGTTCACATAGCCTGAGACCCACTCCACAATGAGCAAGTGTGGTAAGTGGGAATAATTAGCAGATTCATTTCAAAAGCAGACTCTTGATTGAAACCGAAATCCTAATGTGTATACCCCCTAAGATTGCAATTTAGACACTACTGTAATAGAGGCAGAGTAAAGGGCAGAAGAAACTATACCTCGGAGTGAGCACTGCTTTCATTGCATCCGAACAGATCTGCTAAGAGTTTCTGTATATGCAGCAATTAAAGACTGAAAAGTCATGCTGGTTCATTCCCAGCTATCCATAACCTGCAGCAGTCTTTGCCTGTAATGTATTTTTGAGCTATTATTTTGCATAGTATAAGTGTGATAAAGAAATCCACTACAAGACATAATTACAGCAATGGTCTTAAAGCTCTATCAGTTTTTTCAGTCATTGAAAGTCTGTACCAAAAGAGCTGGCTTCTCAAACCCCTGCAGAAGATTCACCCGTGTCATTATTTTTCTATCCTTCGGTTATAGTACTATTGATCCCACTTCTTCTCTGAGATTAACTTTAGACAATAAATGATAGTAGAAACTGTTAAGAAACAAGAACGTGAAGGAAGATCATTTGGGAACAGAGACCCAGGGACATTGTATAATTTTCAGAACTGCTGAAAACCTGTAGTAGTCATAAACTTTGAAGGGAGTTGCTGGATTCTCAGCCTCTTTTGAAAATTTTTTTTTTTTACTGTAGACATAAACATTTAGCAGTGGAACTTCCAAAAGTGCCAAGGGGAACTTGTTCAATCCAGCTAATTAATTAGATGGGACTTAAGTGCCTTATCTGTTTAAGTACTTTTGAAAATCCCACTATGCTTCCACCTTCAGTTTTCACAATCTAAATACTTGGGAAAACCTGCCCCAAAGTGATCTAGAAGTTCAAATGTTACAAAACTGACTTCAGGGGAGCTTAACTTTAGGCACATATTTTAAACATGATTCTCATGGGGGAAAGGAGCTGACAAAGCCAACAAAGCCAGGCAAAAGACAGACAGAAATTAAGGTGTTTTTCTACATTGGAAAAAAAAGAAAAAGTTCCCCATCTCTTCAGCCCTTACTGATCAACATATCTGGGTCTGCGGCACTCTTTATACTGCTCAGACCTTGCTAAGGCTGGGTGAGTCTCACATTATTAAGTAGCCTTAGGTAAACATAGTTTCTAGAAGACTTATTTTGTCACCTTCATTTTCATGCGACATCTTCTAGCTGCTGTTCACTACAGGATGATACATGACAAGGCAAAGTTCATTACTAAATAGATCTGAATTCATCGTCTAGGTCAGATGGACTGGAATACCCTAGCTATGTATCTATTATTAATAATAATTTAAACATTATTATTAATTTTATTTGTGTACATTCTCTGAATTTGGAAAGTGTCTGATAGATTGATGTGCTATCATGAAGTACCTCACATTTCCCTAAGATGAGGTTCCATTTTTTACTATTCCAATACTTACCGGAAAACATCAGAAAGAGTATGACAGCACGTCTGTAAGACATGTATTCATTTTCTATGAAATGCATCATGATACACAAAGAGAATGGCTTCATTACTATTTAAATAGACATAAAAATCATCTCTAGATGAGGTAACTGCCTGATGGAGCTGCAATTTGCTTTAATTTGCAGCTCTAAGATTCACAGTTCACTAAACCATTAAAATACAGACAAAATGCCATTTCATATCAAAACCAAGTAAAC